CTGTTGTTACTTCCATTTCTAAAAGCAAACAAGGGGCTGGTTGTAAATTCCTTAACTGGAGCCCGCCTATCTCTTGCCTCAGGAAATACTAAGAGGAGCCTGGCTGATTGTAAATGTCCAACCTGGAGCCCATCTATCTCCTACCTCATAACTGATACATAACATACATATACATGTATAATTGAATAGTTTTGCAGTATACTGAAACTAACACAATATTGTAAATCACCTATAAAAAACAAGCAAAAACACCCAACCATCACCGGACATAGTTACAATTTTTTTTTCTTGAAAAGAACTTTTCAAGGTCTACTTTCTTAGCAACTTTCAAATATACTGTACAGTATTATTAACTATATGAGCCAAACTATACATTATATCTCATGACTTAATTATTTTAGACCTGGAAGTTTGTACCTTTTGACCACTTTTACCCATTTCCCCTACCACTCACTCCATGCCTCTGGTAAACGTCAATCTGTTCTCTGTATCTATGAGTTCATTTTGTTGATTTTTTTTTAATTTAAAAAAATATTTATTTCTTTATTTGACTGTGTCAAGTTTAGTTGCAGTACGAAGGATCTAGTTCCCTGGCTAGGGATTGAACCCTGGTCCCCTGCATTGGGACCGAGGAGTCTTAGCCACTGGACCACCAGGGAAGTTCCTGATATTGTTTTTTAGATTCCACATATAATTGTATAAATGAGATCAAATGGTATTTTCTTTCTCTGACTTATTTCATTTAGCATAATATCCTCAAGGCCCATATTGTCACAAATGGCATGATTTTTTTCCTCTTTTTTTTATGCCTGAATAGTAATTCATCCATCTTGAATAAACATACTGACACTTGTATGACACAGTTACTAAGATAAATAGCCAGATGAGGAACAAGGCTGCCCTGAGACAGGTTGGGACCTGGGACCCTTTGCGGCCGTGCTGCAATGTTTGCAACGGGACACACCTCTCCTAGAGCAAACAAAAACAAAACTATATGGGGTTAAAAATAACTGCAGGTATGCACAGTTTCAGCAAATGAACAAAAGATACAAAAAGACCAAAGAACCCCTACTGCCACTTCTGAAGAGCCAGGAGCAAAAAGTGGGAGTCAGGAGCAAAAGCAGGGTACTGTGCATCCCCCCTGCACTCAACACTACCAAAGGGGTGGGCAAACCACCTAAGCCACCCCTCTGGCCAGCCGCTGGATGCACCCCTACCCTCACCCTATACAAAAAATAAGCTCCCAAGCAAGCTCACCTATGAAGGGATTGAGCAAGCAAGGGAAATTGTTACTTGTTCTCACTCCTCTTTGCTACAGCAGGAGCCCCAATAAAGCCTTGCCTGAATTTCTATTCCTTTTTCTTTAAGTTTCTATTGATTGGGGATGGCTAAGAACCTTGGTTGGTATCAGCCCCAGGCATGAAGCTCTCCTTTCAGAAAGTTCTGGGTAACCTTGATAACTGACCGCTCGAGTGGCCCCACTTCTCCCTTCCTGTGCCCTCATTCTTGTTCTTAGGTTTTAAATTAGACAATGAAGAGTGAACTTGAAAAACCTCTGGCACCCGGCTTCTTGGACTCTAACAAAGGCAGAGCACCATGTCTGTGCTGTCTCTCTACCTGTGATTTCACTATGTGGTACCTAGTGCATCCTATACCCCTGAGGACCTGTGAGTAAGAAATCTTATTTTTACAAAATTGCCCAGTGGTTGTTGCTAAGGTATGTCTTGCGATCATAAGAACCACAAGGGCTAGTCCGGCCACCAGGTGATAAAGAGACCTGGGTAAATCAAGCAATACAAATACTTTGGCCAGGAAGAAGTTTTGGGTATGGCTACTGCCTGGGAGCAAATAGCCTGCTGAGTGTTGCAGAGAATTATGTTGAAACCATGCACTGAGCTTACGCCTGTTTGAGCCTTAAATTAATGCCCAGGTCCCTAAATCACACCAGAGGAATCAGACGATGATGGCTGTAGAGTTCCCAAGAAGGGTATCCCCTTCCATGAAATGTTCAGTTCAGTCGTGTCCAACTCTTTGAGACCCCATGGACTGCAGCACGCCAGGCTTCCCCGTCCATCACCGACTCCTGGAGCTTGCTCAAACTCATGTCCATCAAGTTGGTGATGCTATCCAACCATCTCATCCTCTGCTGTCCTCTTCTCCTCCTGCCTTCGATCTTTCTCAACATCAGGGTCTTTTCCAATGAATCAGCTCTTTGTGTCAGGTGGCCAAAGTATTGGAGCTTCAGCTTCAGCATCAGTCCTTTCAATGAATATTCAGGACTGATTTTCTTTAGGATGGACTGGTTTGATCTCCTTGCAGCCTAAAAGACTCTCCAGAGTCTTCTTTTGAAATGTGGTGTGAAGTAAAATTCATATTTTATGACAAGACAATGAAAATTTAAACATAAAAAGTCATCTCTGCCCTTTGACCTCCTGTCTCCCCTCAACTGTGTATCTGTGTAACACAACTGTGTGTTTTACATCACCAAACCTCCCCACTGATAGGAATACCTGCTCAGCTGTAGAGAGCAACACACTCCTAGCATTAATTAGACAACTCTTTAAAAGATTGCCTTCCTTCTTGATCTTATCACGGGTCACAAGACCCACTATGATGACACATGTCTGGATTATGTAACTATCAATAACACGTCATTTTGTGATCATGGTATCTCTCCTGCCAGGTAAGTATTGTTATTTTGATGTACAGCCCTGGGGTCCCCTGGTGGCTCAGTGGTAAAGACCCTTCCTGCTTCTTTTGCAGCTACTTATAAACCACCATGGGCTTCCCTGGGGGTTCAGACGGTAAAGCATCTGCTTGCAATGCAGGAGACTTGGGTTTGACCCCTGGGCTGGGAAGATCCCCTGGAGAAGGGAATGGCTACCCACTCCATTATTCTTACCTGGAGAATCCTGTGGACAGAGGAGCCCGGTGGGCTACAACCCATGGTGTTGCAAAGAGTCAACATGACTGAGTAAATAACACTTCCACTTTCATAACCCAGAGTGGAATGTGAGAAGTACATGACACTTCAAGATAATGGGCTTGTCTCCCCTGACCTCTCTGATTATTTTTTGATAATAGACTATCAAAAATTATTAGTTTTAATAATCAAAAATTATCTAGGGTTCACAGCTTCAATGTTACAGACAATTAATAATGTCCTGGGAAATAGGCAAGAAATAAGATATAAAGAACCTGGGTTTCTGAATGCTTGAAAGGAGCAGAATCAGCCACTGACCTAGAATTCTGACTGTTGCATGAGACAGAAATAAACTATCTTGTTTGAGTCATTACTTTTTGTCTTTTTTTGTTTTTAGCAGGTGTTGTAGATTGAATTAGGTCCATTTCCCAAATTCATTTGTTGAAATCCTAACCCTCAGTATTTCAGAATGAGACCTTATTTGGAAATAAGACTGCTGCAGATATAAAGGGCCTTCCCTGATGACTCAGCGGTAAAGAATCCGCCTGCAATGCAGGAGACACAGGGGACGTGGGTTCGATCCCTGGGTAGGGAAGATCCCCGGAAGTAGGAAATGACACCCCACTCCAGTATTCTTGCCTGGAAAATTCCATGGATAGAGGAGCCTGGCGGGCTACAGCCCAGGGGGTTGCAAAGAGTCAGACATGACAGAGTGACTGAGCATGCATACATGCAGATATAATCGTTAAGATGAGGTCATGTTAGAGTGAAATGGATTCCTAATCCAAAGTCACTGGTGTCCTTATAAAAAGGGAATATTTAGAGATAGACATGCACACAGGAATACGTGCATACCTGTAAAGATGAAAGCAGGTGTCTACAAGTCAGGGACGTCAAAGAGAGCTAGTAAACCACCAGGTGGGGAGAGAGGCATGGAGTAGACATTCCCTTATACCTCAGAAGAAACCAACCTCTAGTGCCTGATTTCAGACCTAGGGTCTCCAGAAGTGGAGGACAACACATTTCTTTTATTTAAGCCATATGTTGACAATTTGTGGTATTTTGATATAGAAACCCTAATATAGCAAATAGGTTATTCATCCTAACACAAAAATTAGTATCAGAAGTGGAGTGTTCTAATCACAAAATAAAAAATTAGTTGCACTAGTCTAGTGACCTGGTGGCAAGGACCCAAATATTGCAGACTGCAAAGCTGGTGAACCTGGTCAAAGAACAATACTTGGTAATGTCATCATCTGTATAACCCACTGGAAAGGTAGACCATAAGTCTACTGAGTCTGTGTTTCTAGAAGTGATTGGGAAGAGTTAGAATACCACCATAAGTTGACTGCTTCTTGCTGCTTGCAGCAAGGAATCACAAGAAAGAGGTGATCTGACCCAAGAATAAGCCAGTTTTGAAAGTCACCACACGATTGGAAGAGCCAACAACTTTCTCTTCTCTCAAACAGTTTAAATAGGGATTTTGCCTCATGCCCAAGGCTGTTATTTCAAATGACCATTAACAGAGAATGACAGAGATGTAGGTAGTTCAAGAAACCAAATAACGTAAATTAAATAGACTTAAGAACTTTGGCTAGAAAAGAACACTGAACATTGTTCCTAGCAACTAGAAGTACTAGCCCAGAAGTCTGCTGTTTCTTGAAGGAACTCAGTTGCTAAAAAAATCCAAGAGTCTGCAAAACTTTACACCCTTTGAGTTTTTGCCTTTGTGTCTCTTTGTTACAGCAGCTTAACCTGACCTTAACCTAAAGTAGCACTTGAATCCTGGTCTCTCTGGTTTCCAGAGTGCTTCCTTTTAACCATGATGTGTTCTTTAGACTTCAATTAAGTGCCACAAAGTCAGAGATTTTGTTTGTCCCCTGCCAGACTCTTCAAAGTGTGTAAATAGTAACCAACCAATAGTAAAATGTAACAGATATTCAATAAATATCTGTTGGTAGGATAAAGTAATAAACAAATGAACCAAGAGTGAGATGTAGGAACTATCTAAGATTGGGACTGTGCAGGAATTCAGATGCGTGCTGAATTTGGACACTCGGATGCCTCAATGCTGTGGTCACTCAATAAAAACTGGCCTCCTGCTGATGAGGGCCCCCAAGGCGCCCTTTATGTCGCTGTTGCGTAGGCTGTAGATGAAGGGGTTCAGCATGGGAGTGACCACAGTGTACATCACTGCAGCGACTGTGTCCTTCTGGGCTGTATGGGAAGACATGGGGCTGAAATAAACCCCAATGATGGTGCCGTAGAAGAGGGACACCACAGAGAGATGAGAGCCACAGGTAGAGAAAGCCTTCCGCTTGCCTCTCATGGACGGGATCCTTAAAACGGCAGCAAAGATGCGTGTGTAGGAGACCAAGATGCCCACAAAGGGGGTGATGATAGGCAGGGCGCCCACAGTGTATACCATTGCATTGTTGAGAAAGGTGTCAGAGCAGGCGAGCTTCAGCAGAGGACTCAGGTCACAGAAGAAATGGGGGATCCGGTTGTGGGTGCAGAATGAGAGACGGGTCAGTAGTACTGTGTGGGTCAGGGCATTCCCGAAGGCTGCAGTCCAGGACGCTGCCACCAGGAGGCTACAGAGCTGTGGTGTCACAGACATAGCATAGTGCAGAGGGTGACAGATGGCCACATAGCGGTCATAGGCCATGGCGGTCAGCAGGAAGCTGTCGATGCCGGCGAACCAGATGAAGAAGAACATCTGGGTCAGGCAGCCAGCATAAGGAATCCCTTTGTGTCCTGACACGTGGTTGGCCAGCATCTTGGGGATGGTGGTGGAGGTGAAGCAAATGTCCACGAGGGCCAGGTTGGCCAGGAAGAAGTACATGGGCGTGTGGAGCCGGATGTCAGTGGTGATGGCCAGGATAATGGACAGGTTCCCCAGTTGCGTGACCAGATACATGCTCAGGAAGAGTATGAACAGCAGCTGCTGTTGCTTGGGGTCTTCCGAGAGGCCCAGGAGTAGGAACTCAGAGACCAGGGTGAGATTTGCCCCAACTTCAGCCATCCTAAATCAATCAGAAAGGAAACAGAGGAGCTGTCCAGGGTCCTGGTCAAGGTCAGCCCCTTCTTTGCACCCTGGATCTTATCCCCTCTCCTTCGTTCAGCCATTCATCAATTCTTCCCAGTCTCCTGCAGCAGAATCCCCCCACCCATGTGCTGGATCATTTCCAACAGTAAACACACCATTCATTCTGCACAGCCCACCTGCAGGGTGCCACCAGCAGGTTGGTGGACAGCTCCCAAGCACACTGACCATCTCTCACCTCTACAACCTGTGTCTCTGTGCACCAAGGCTTTATCTGATCACCGGAGCAGGCTGCAGATGGTGTAACGAGGAAGTGCTGGGAGTTGACATCCCCAGAACGACTTTTGGCTAGTGAGGGACTGGGCTTGTTGGGTGAATGTTCCAACTTCATCCCTTCTGAGTGAGGTAGCTCTGGGGTGTGTTCTCACCAGGATCCCTACTCATCCACACCTTCTTTCCCCAAACACTCACTGAGTCTTCTGGGATTATTTTCCAAATAAATATTTGCACTCAAGTTCTTGACTCAGAATCTTCTTTGGGGAGAACTCAAATTAAGATGGCTCAGTGGAAAAGAATCCATCTACCAATGCAGGAGCTGCAGGAGATGCGGGTTCAATCCCTGGGTCAAGAAGATCCCCTGGAGGAAGAAATGGCCACCCATTCCAGTATTCTTACTGGGATAATCCCAAGGACAGAAGAGCCTGGCAGACTACAGTCCATGGGGTCACAAAAAGTCAGACACAATTTAGTGACTAAACAGCAACAACAACTGAAAGCCGAGTACTTTGTGCTATACAAGATGTACAAATTTATCATTATCTTCATTTTTTATATTTATTAATATTTATTTATTTTATTGGAGTATAATTGCCTTACAGCATTGTGTCAGTTTCTGTTAGACAAAGAAGTGAATCTGCTATGCATGTGGGCTAAGTCATTTTGGTCGTGTCCAACTCTTTGCAATGCTATGGACTGTAGCCTACCAGGTTCCTCTGTCCATGGGATTCTCCAGGTAAGAATACTGCAGTGTCAAGAGGGAGGGGACATATGTATACCTATGGTTGATTCATGTTGATGTTTGGCAGAAACCAAAACAATTCGGCAAAGCAATTATCCTTCAATTAAAAAAATAAATAATGTTAAAAATTAAAAAAAAAAATACTGGAGTGGGTTGCCATGCCTTCCTCCACAGGATCTTCCCAACCCAGGGATTGAACCTGTTTTCTCTTACCTCTCCTGCATTGACAGGTATATTCTTTACCACTAGCACCACCTGGGGATCAGCTGTATGTATACGTATACACCCCTTCCCCCCAGCCTCCCTCCCACTCCCGACCCCCCCCCCCCCACGCCACCTGCCTAGGTCATTACAGAGAGCTAAGCTGAGCTCCCTGTTACACGGCAGCTTCCCACTAGCTAGCTGTTTTCACATGGCTGTGTATATGTGTCAATCCTACTCTCACAAATTGTCCCATCTTCTCCTTCCCCTCTTGTGTCCACAGATGTGTTCTCTACATCTGCATCTCTATTCCTGCCCTGGAACTAAGCTCACCTGTACCATTTTTCTAGATTCCACATACATGGGGCAATACCCAACATTTGTTTTTCTCTATCTGACTTGCTTCACTCTGTATGACAGACTCTAGAGCCACCCACATCTCTACAAATGACCCACTTCCATTCGTCTTTAGGCTGAATAAACATTATCTTTGAATTTTGAGGTTGGTCTTGGTTTCAAACAGTTAAGGTTTACTTCAGTTTTTATTGCCTGTGCCCTATAGTTTTTGTCTAACTCGTAGGTGCCATGTTCTGATGATTATAAAATCAAAAGCTTACAATAAAGTATGAAAAGAAAGCATACAGAACGAAAAGGCAAAAGTGCTTGGGTAATGTTCTTATGAAATATCACAAATAGTACTCTGCTGTATCTGTGGATGGACAGAGAAGAAATGATATTCCCAGTGAATAGCAGTCTTGGAACATCTGATACTTACAGAAATCTGGGCAACCTGGAACAGTTTTGTGACTGTGTAAGACTCACTAGAAACTGAAGCACTTAATTTATATTTTTAGAATGAAAAACAGCTTTTTAAAAATAAAAATATGGGTAATTGGGACTTGGAGGTCCACTGGCTAGGACACCATGCTGCTAATGCAAGGGGAATGGGTTCAATCCCTGGTCAGGGAACTAAGATGTCCCATGCATGGCAATAAATTAATAAATAAACAAATAAATTTTTTAAAAAACTAAAAAATACAAACCAGGGTCTCCTGCATTGCATTGGATTCTTTACCAGCTGATCTATCAGGGAAACCCAGTTTATGGTGCTAAGTTGCATCAGTTGTGTCCAACTCTCTGAGACCCCATGGACTGTAGCCCACCAGGCTCCTCTGTCCATGGGATACTCCAGGCAAGAATACTGGGCTGGAGTGGGTTTCCATTTCCTCCTTCAGGGGATATTCCCGACTCAGGGATCGAAACTACATCTCTTGCATCCCCTACATTGGCAAGCAGATTCTTCACCACTGTGTCACCTCAGTCCAAAATGTAAAATAAAAAATTAAATTAGAAACCAAAAACAAACATATACTTTTCAGAAAGAAATAAAAAGTATTGAACACACAAAAGTAACTAATGAAACAGAAATGCAAGGTAATTATAGAAATGAAGAAGTGTGATATGCCATTTGAAAACCAGCAAAATAAATATCGATCCCAGGTATGTGGTGGGGGAAAACTCTTAGGGGTTCTACTACTAAATCTTAGGAAAATGAATTCATTGTTTAATGACAAGAGTAAATTTAATCTATTGGATCCTAGAAGTTGATCAAAGTATATCCATGAAGCTCTATGGAACAAATCTTAATGAAATTAAGGTGATTAAATAAATAGGGCAACTAAACCATTCTTAGGCTTCCCTAGTAGCTTAGACTGTAAAGAACCCACTAGCAATGAGAGAGACCTGGGTTCAATCCTCGGGTTGGGAAGATCCCCTGGAGCAGGGCATGGCAACTTACTCCAGTAGTCTTGCCTGCAGCATCCCATGGACAGAGGAGCCTGGGGCCCATGGGCTTGCAAAGAGCTGGACAGAACTGAACCGCTAGGCTCAGCACAAACCACTCCTGGGACCTAATTGCACCGAGAGGCATTGAATAAAAATCTCAGACAAGGTTATGAGATGTAGGACTTTGCTTTTAATTTTAATTCTGTTAGTTTAGTAGAAATTAAGAGAGAACTCAGCACCTTTAACAATGCTATTGTCATCAAAAGAAAAGCAAGAATTTTAAAAGCTGCAATAGACCTAGTGGTGATCGATCACCTTCAGGTCTGTCCATCCCTTCTCATTTCTTGCCTCATCTCCTGTGCTCATTCTGGTTTCTTTGATGGTCTTTGAATAAGCCAGAGATGCTCCTTCCTCAGGGCCTTTGCACTTGCTGTTCCCTCTGCTTAGAACACTCTTTCTCCCAGGATATTCTTATAGCTCTGTTTTCTACTTCTGGCCCATATGATAATATTTCCGTTAATCAGGAAGGAGGAGCTATAACAAAAGTAAATTAGGTCTTGCCCTTCACGTTTCCAGTCCCAAAGAAAGCCAATGCCAAAGAATGCTCAACCTACCACATAAGTGCACTCATCTCACATGCTAGCAAAGTAATGCTCAAAATTCTCCAAACCAGGCTTCAACAGTACAAGAACCGTGAACTTCCAGATGTTCAAGCTGGTTTAGAAAAGGCAGAGGAACCAGAGAGCAAGTTGCCAACATCCATTGAATCATCGAAAATGCAACAGAGTTCCAGAAAAACATCATCTTCTGCTTTATTGACTACACCAAAGCCTTTGACTGTGTGGATCACAATAAACTGTGGAAAATTCTGAAAGAGATGGGAACACCAGCCACCTGACCTGCCTCCTGAGAAATCTGTGTGCAGGTCAGGAAGCAACAGTTGAAACTGGACATTGAACGACAGACGGGTTCCAAATAGGAAAAGGAATACGTCAAGTCTGTATATTGTCATCCTGCTCATTTAACTTATATGCAGAGTACATCGTGTGAAATGCCAGACTGGATGAAGCACAAACAGGAATCAAGATTGCCAGGAGAAATATCAATAACCTCAGATATGCAGATGACACCACCCTTATGGCAGAAAGCAAAGAAGAACTAAAGGGCCTCTTGATGAAAGTGAAAGAGGAGAGTGAAAAAGTTGGCTTAAAACTCAGTATTCAGAAAACTAAGATCATGGCATTTGGTCCCATCACTTCATGGCAAATAGATGGGGAAACAATGGAAACAATGATAGACTTTATTTTTGGGGGCTCCAAAATACTGCAGATGGTGACTGCAGCCATGAAATTAAAAGATTCTTGCTCCTTAGAAGAAAAGCTATGACCAACCTATATAGCATATTAACAAACAGAGACATTACTTTGCCAACAAAGGCCTTTCTAGTCAAAGCTGTGGTTTTTCCAGTAGTTATGTATGGATATGAGAGTTGGATTATAAAGAAAGCTGAGCACTGAAGAATTGATGCTTTTGAACTGTAGTGTTGGAGAAGACTCTTGAGAGTCCCTTGGACTGCAAGGAGATCCAACAAGTCCATCCTAAAGGAAATCAGTCCTGAATATTCATTGGAAGGACTGATGCTGAAGCTGAAATTCCAGTACTTTGGTCATCTGATGTGAAGAACTGGAAAAGACCTTTGGAAAAGACCATTGGAAAAGACCCTGATGCTGGGTAAGATTGAAGGCAGCAGGAGAAGGGGACGACAGAGGATGAGATGGTTGGATGGCATCACTGACTCGATGGACATGAGTTTGAGCAAGTTCCGGGAGTTGGTGATGGATGGGGAAGCCTGGAGTGCTGCAGTCCATGGGGTCGCAAAGAGTAGGACACGACTGAGCAACTGAACTGACTGACTTCACATTGCACTTTTCTCCCCACAAAGTTTGGAGTAAAATTCCAAATCCTGGTGAAACTG